CTGTCAAGGTCCATCTGGATATTGAGCCTATCAACTAGGGCAGGGGTGTCCAACTCAGGTCATCATAGCAGCGTCACGTGACATATTGCAACTTTTTTCCTCTTTGCTAAACCAGGCATCCAGCCTGTGAGCTGCAAGTTTGACAGCCCTGATCTATGGTGTTAGCTATTCCTGCCAGCTTAGTATCCTATCAGCAAGGTTCAAAATAAGCCCCAATGTTCTCCTTGAAAAGAAATCTTGGGAACAGATAAGGAGATAGTTACAGGAGATAACAGGAGAACAAATTGAATTTAAACCTGAATTATTTTTATTAGGAATAATTAATCAAAAGATAAAGAAGCAACTCCAACATATCATTTTACATATAGTAACAGCAGCACAAATTGTTTATGCCCAATGTTAGAAACTTGAAAATATACCAGCCATTGAGAGGATTATTCATAAGATATTAGAATGTGCCGAGATGTATAAGCTCACATTAGAAATAAAAGGCAAGGAAGAAACAGAATTTTACGAGGTTTGGTATAAGTGGTATAACTGGTTAGAACAGAGAAACAAAAATGTATAGAAATAAATGTAGATAACTGTAAGAGACACATGACACAGTACTGTTAAAAATGCTTATTGTTATGTAAATTGGAAAAATGGAAAATTAAAATTTAAAAAATGGTGGATATATGTGTCAGATCATATTGTGGAAATTGCTTAGCTTTTTTCCTCCCATTTTAGCTTGACTTGGAACTTGTATATAAAGTTTGTAATCTGCTTCACAATTGGCCCCTGGCCACATCTTTGTTGTTATAATTGAGCTCTTCCACTTCTTTGTATCAATAATATAGTTGATCTGATTTATTGTACTTTATCTGGTGATCTCCTTATGTATACATGTCCTTTTAGCTGAAAACTGTATTAGCAATAAAGAAAGCACTGGATTGAAGATACTAGCAAGTCATTCCCTTGTTCCACTTCTCTTTTCTAGCTATATAATCCATCTACATTTTCCTTCTTACTATTTGCAACTTTGGCAACCTAGTCTCCAATCAGAGGCAGACATCTAGCTTGTAAATTCTGTCAATTTTAGATTGGATTTTATCAACAAATCAACCTCCTCTCCTCTTCTTCTTCATCATCTGTGGTTGAAGCGTAAAATTGAGTAACTTCATACTGTGTTTCCCCGAAAATAAGACTAAGTCTTTTTTAAATTAATTTTTGCTCCAAAAGACGCATTAGGGCTTATTTTTGGGGAAATACGGTACTAAATGCATCCATCTAGCTGACAATCTTAACTGGGGCTTATTTTGGGGGTAGGGCTTATATTACAAGCATCCTGAAAAATCATGCTAGAACTTATTTTCCGGTTGAGTCTTATTTTTGGGAAAATAGGGTATTAAAGAGTTGTCCACAAAGTCTGATTAATATGATTTGGCCGTTGACTAGGTTGTATCCAAATTTGTATTATCTATTTATTTATGTATCATATTTAAGAAACATCAATTTCTCTCATAGAGGGACCCGTCTTTGCTATATTCTGCTTTATGAAAACATTCTGTTCCTTGTTTTTCATGTCTTGAGTAGTAAATGATATGATTTTCTGATTAAAGCAGCATCAGTTGTGATAACTTTGTTCTACACAGTAGTATTAGGGGAAGGATATCAGCTCCTAGGAAACTGATGATGGCAGCAGCAAGTACCAAGTTGCTATCCCAAAGCAGGTGGTGGCCAAGACCACTTGTGAAGACTCATATGAGTTGGGGGAAATTTTGAAACCTCCAGGTTTCCATTTTATTGGCTTAGTTGTTCTGCTACGATTTACGTGGTTATTGTACCAGGTTTTTTAGGGGCTGATCAGAAGTTGGATTTGAAAGAGACTGAGAATTTAATTTTTTTCTTTGTAATGATATGTGGGAATGACCTTGAAAGACTGGGCGAAGAGACACTGCCAAGAGAACAGTCTGATAAGAGACAGCACAGCTTGTAGGAAGATAGTGAGCAAGGCAAGAGGCTCAGTACCACTCTAGTTTCTTGGGCTGTAAGGAGATGAGGGAGGGGGAATCTTCTTTCATACAAAAGATTAATGTTGGCGTCATGAGGTAATCTAGGTAGGAATCACAACTAGATGAACTAATTATACTATTATAAAGATTTATTGACAGAAGATTGCTATCACTTATGAGTAAACCAGATAGGAATCAGCTAAACTAATTCTATGTTATTAATATAAAGCTACATTGACAGAATCTTGCAAGAATGAAAATACAATGCTCTCCCCACCCCCACCCCCTTTACAGCCTGAGAAATTAGGGAGTTTCTTCTGAGTCTTTTGCCATGTCCACTGTGTAGCCAAGGATTATGTTGTCTCTTATCTGTCTGTTCCATGGCAACATCTCTTTATACACTCTCCCAATTGTCTTTCCTACATACCATTACATCCTATGAATAATTCTGCAGTTCTACATTTATGGCATTTTCACAAAATGGCTATCAAGATTTTGGTAGCCAATCAAAAACATTCTCTTCTTAGAAGGCAATCTGATGAGATTATTCAATGTTACTCCCTCTAATATACTAGGCAACTCCATGGAAACTCAGGCTTTAGTTGTGATATTAGATTATTGTGAGCTACTGTATTAATTTGAAGCACTGTATTTTATACTGTGTCTGATTACTGGCTTAAACTACTATTATTGCCTCATCTTCTTTGTTTTTTTAACTTGGATAGGTGGGCATACTTCCAATTACCCACTACTACAATTACTCACTATTTTATTTTCTAAGAATGCTTCTGGGTATTTTTGGAATATACGTTATGACAAAAATTGGCACTTTTTTCAGAAGCAGGTAAAGCCACAAGCATGCAAATAAAGCTGGTAAGCTCAAATAGTTTTAATTTATGAATTTTGTATATGAAAATAAAATATGCCTTTAAAATAGAAAATAGGCATCTACACACGCATATTATAAGCACCCGTATTGATGATAAGTGAGGATGAGATCCTCTGCTTATTAGAGTATATGGCCACTGATCACAGTAGTACGTCATAGTGTTATGTATAAAGAAAATGAATATACAAAATGTTTGGAGAACCAGGAAGCTACTGTAGCTCTTCTGTTTTTACCAAACTTTCATAATAAACAGGCACAGAATACAGTAGAGATTTTAGTCGTTATAAATACTATTGAACAGACTGATATTGTTTCATATCAAGTTACTTTTAGCACCTTATGACCAAAAATTCATAGAATTTATGTTTTATTAAACTTAATTAAAAATTCAAATAAGCAAACAAAAACCCTACCCTTAAGCATAAGACTTTCACTGTTGCAATAAAAGAAATTCCTATTGCTGATTATTAGGTCTATAACTGAAAAATTCTAGAAAATGCAAGCAGATTTTTCTTTGAATCAGAATGGAAAATTCTTCTGCCCCAAATGTTTTGGCAAAAAATAATGTAATAGCAAAGGAGCTATATTTAAAATCTTTTTTAAGGTACATAAATAAATCATTACCTATAAAAATGTTCTGTATGTAAACATGGAATATATAACATGCTTATATTCCTAAGACACATTTGCATGAACACAAGCATAAATATGCATGTTCCCAAATTTTTCTTGATTTGCTTTTTTTCATCTTGATATTCTTTATATTTTACACATACACAAAAAAGATTAAATCTACATTCCAGGAGTCTTGACAAATTGATTTTTATCTGAATAAAAAATATGAAGAATACATCTTGAGTAATTCTATGTATATGAATGTCATGGTTAAACACCTAGCTACTAATGCTAGCACCTGCTGTTAGTTTTTTCCTTTGCAGGAGTATGAAAATTTTTCAGAAGCTACGCTGACGCTTTTCAACTGATTTGAGAGCAAAAAGATCCATTCTCAGTGGGCCAAATCTCCTCTTTTTGGTCAAACATGTTAAATCTTGCCACGTTTTTATGACGCTGCTTTGTTAATCGCACTGCTGCTTTCTCTACCAGAACGAAATCAAACGCAGTGCTACCCTTCCAAAATGTCCGTGACCTTTTCTACCTCCATCATTTGGCTTTCGTTGTTGCCTGCACTATCCTGTCACCAGTCAGTCACCCAGTATTGTTCTCCGGAACAGTTGCAGCCATTGCTGAAAGAACACTGCAAGCAGTGAAGGAAGGAAAAAAAAGAAAAAAAAAGCCTTCCCGATTGAAATACAAACAAATATATTTGACGCCGGCAGGTTGATCGCGTCATCTTTTCCTTTCAATTTGCATTTATAATCAATCGTCTGGCCCGTTATTGTCTTTGCAAGCTTCCCAAACGCTGTCCTTGATTGGGGCCACCAGATCTGGTGAACTGCGCCCATAATTTTCTTTTGTTTGTAGCGGCGGCTGGCTGGCTCCTGGCCGGCTGAGAGATGCGGCGAAGAGGGAAGCGGCAGGCGAAGCCGAAGCGAGCACCTCCGTGAAGGCTCCAGACGTTGCAGAATGAATGCGCCAGGCACGGAGAAGAGAGCGCGGAGAGGGAGAGCAGAAGGGGAGGGACGGCGGGGATCAGATCAGCTGCCTGCCTGGGAGAAGCCGCGAGGGTGTCAGGAGGACGAGGAGAGCCTAGGTGGACTTTAAACCCGGGGCAGCCCCTCTCCGGTCAAGAGCTCCACTTTTCTTTGCAGATCGAAAAGCGGGAAGCGGCTGCTTGGCCAAAGTGAAGTGGTTAGTAGTGCACTGGGGGCCGTTGGAGAAGCCAGCTCGCTCTGGGCTGATGATAACCTGCGGATGCGCCTAGCCGAGGCGTACCAGTCTCCTCCTCTTTTCCCCTCCTCTTCTGGGGAGCCAGGCCGACTTCGAGGCTGGCGGGGCGTTGGATCTCCCAGGCATGCGGGGAGGCGCGGAACAGCCCCTTGGTAGAAATCCCCGACTCGGCACTGTGGAGTAACGCAAGAGTTTCGGTCCCCTCACTCGCAGGGAGGCGGCTGCGCCAGTCCTCAGACAAGCCAGGTGGTGGGCGGGGGGTGGGGGGAACCAGGCGCTGAGGCGAATTACTCGCTCGCTCGTGCCTCTCCCTCCGTCTCTCTCTCTCTTTTTTTTACGCGCGCTTACGCCCGCCTCTCCCAAGGCTCTGGGCCAGTCTGCTTCTGGCAGGTAGGCTGCGAGCGCCGGAGGTGCGCGCCTTGGAACATCGGGAGTGCTGGTCTCCCGTATCTCCCCCCCCCCCGCCCTCCTGCCAGTAGGACTCCACCCGGCGCGCCTCCGACCTTTCCAGGAAAGGGCCAAAAGTGCGCGCTTGGGGCTTTCACGCCCCTTCCCCGCCTGGCTTTTTTTTTCCCCCTCCCCTCCTTGCACGCCCACCTCTCCTGTCCGGCTGAGGGCAGCGGTAGGACGCGGCGCGCGCTTGGGGAGGTCTTTGCGTCGGCCTCAGCTGCGGAGAATGAATTAAAGCGGCTTTCCGGGAACGGCGGCGGCGGCGGCGGGGCGCGTCTCCGGTTACGGTGCGTCTTTCTCATTGAATGAAAGGTAACGGCTCTCCCACGTAATTTGGGCGAGGCGAGGCGAGGCGTCGTCGGGGCAGTCCCGCGAAATTCCGACACCCCCGCCCCCCCCTCCTCCCCAGGTCGCTTTTGAATCAACCCTCCCCCTCTGTTTCCTCTGTATAGCGCGATCCTATCGGGTAGGCCAATGAATGTAGTTAAAGGGCGGGCGGCGCTTGTGGTCCGATAGGAGGGCGCCTTTTAAGGCTCCGGGTGGGGAGAGAGAGAGAGAGAAATATGTGCACTACTCCATTTGCAGACATCTGCTCGGGGTGTGCAATGTTGGAGGGTGGTAGAAGGGTTTGCCGGTGCTCGGTGGGTCTTTCATAGCAACCTTTTTGCAGGCTGCTGATGCCTTCCGTCCCTGTAATTGACAATGCCATATTGGCTTGGGAATTCTGGGAGTTGAAATCCAATACATGGGGAAGGGGATTCCAGCTTGAGAAGGCTCGTTTTTATAAGACAATTGTTGTCTGATTCCTCAATTACGTTTGTTTTTAATAAATTAAGGAGGTTTTGATCCACCCAGATGTATTGTTGTCCAAATCTGAGCACGTTACATAATAGACTATATGGATGTAGGTATTAGACTATGATTGCACAGATTTATGCAAATTCGTATCAGGAATGAGGGACAAGATTTTTTTTTTTTTGCATAATGTTACGTTGCAAAAAAACAACAACAATTTTTAAGGCCTAATAATAAGGACTGTAACTTCTGTTATCTTTTTGGGAATTCATATTTGGCTCATGAGACTTTTAACATACTCAGTCTGACTTACACAGGGGCCTTGATAGTTTTGTGAATTGTTGCAATAGAAAAAGGCCTTGCCCTTTATCAAAATTAATACTTTTAGTTTTGTTACTTATACAGTGGCAGCTGCTAACACTATCTTTCAAGAATGGGAGTAGTGTTAGACTATCTCCTTAAAATTATTGTACTGTTCAGAAAGTCCTATTGGGGATGTTTCTCTTCTATAAAATCTATAACTGATATCGAAGGAGGAAAGAGCATTTATTGCACAGTAAGAACACACTTTAAATTTATTTTACTTTTAAAAAATCAAAATATCCGAAAGTTCTACTAAACCTTCTGTGCAGTGTTGAGAGCTACTGAAAATTCGAATTTTCACCCCACGGAGTAGCTCTCCTGCTTATTGAGCTCTTTCATTCTTGCTTTCTTAAACCCTTTCTGTTGAAAATATAGAATTAAAGGATAATCATTTTAAGAATGGTCAGAAGGATTGGGAGGGGAATCTGAATCCTTTTTAAATTTTTTGTTGAAAAGTTGGGAAAAATAGATTTTAATTTTATCTAGATTGTGTTTGTTTCATGGAGAATCTTTTATCAAAATAATTTATGTAAATTATCTACCAAGATCATTACAGTTCCTCTTGATATTTTCATGAGTGAATAAAGAAGCAATCTGTGTGTTGTCTGAGCGATTTTGATCACATTTGTAATCAAGCATATAGTGGTTCTGTTCTTGTCTTCTAGAAATATGACTGAGGCTCAAAATTGTGAAAGTGCTCTGGAATAAGCAGCAATGCATTATTCCAGAGGAGATTAGATAGAAACAAGGAACTCGTGATCTTGATTACCACAGAACAAGTCTAAAGGTTCAGATGATGGAATGAACTTCTCTTGATGTTGTAAGTTTATTTTGAGAGTCACAAATAGAGCTAAATAGAGCTGAAATGCATCATTGTTGCCAGCAAGACTTCTGAAATCCTTATAATAAGTTCTATTTTACCCATCTAAGTTAGAATTTGCATAGATATGAAAAGAGACTATTGTCTGATATTCAGTTGGAAACCATTGTAAAAACACTTTTACATTTAATTGTACACAATACATTAAATTTTTCCGAATTGTGCTAAAAACAAAGGTTCACCTAGATTTAAAAAAAAAAACCAAAAATCTGGAAATTTTATATCTTTATTTAGAACTACTCGGTTTTCATGCTTTTGATACTTTTCATACCTGAGGTTAAATATGTCCTTGGACCAGATTCTTACTTTTTGATCATGACTTTATAGTACTGTCATTGCTACCATTCACATTTGAAGCTGTGAATCAAAACTATAGTCTTTGGCCAAATATCCTTCAAGTGAACTATAATTTAAGGAATTTGCAGTCATTGTGAGCACTGATGTTTTTGAAATTCTGGAAAATCTTACGCCCTGAGGTGAGATGGGCTCCCATCCTCCTGATGTGACAAAAGAGCCTTAAAACCTGGCTTTACCAGATGGCTGTAGACTTGGTGGGGGAGAGCTTCATACTAAAGGTGGTTGACTAATTAAAATTCACTCCCCCCCCACATGTCCGGCTCTCTTCTTTGCCGGCTTGTCTCCTTGAGTTTATCAATGTTTTTATTTGCTGTAATTTGGATGATTTTAATGTTTTTCAATGTTTTTATGTTGTTAGCCCCCTGGAGTCATTGGATATGAGATGGGCAGCAAATAATTTTTTATAGGTAGGTAGGTAGGTAGATAGTTTTCAGATCTCTGAAGGACTGATAGGTAGGAGAAAGAGTGGAAGAAATAGTGGGATTAAATTAAAGATATCAGATATCATAAACAATTTCCTAACAGTAAGAACTGTTCAACAATGGAACACTCTGCTTTGGAAGATAGTAGAAGGTTGGATGGCCCTCTAATAGTGGATTCCTATTCTCATGAAAGCTACCTAAGCAAACTATTTAGCTGTCAAGTTATCTAATTTTAAGATCCTCTGGAGATATTTTTCAGAGGTACAGATGAGGAGAGGTTAGTTTTTCTTCTATATATTTCAGTAGAGAGTAAGAAGGATAATCTTGATGAAGATATCCAAGATCTGTTGCCAGGACAATGGGAGATAATTTATTTTAAGCCCACGATATATAGATAATATTCAGAAGTGACTTGGGCAGACATCTTCCTAATTTACTGAACAATAAGCAATAGTACAGCACAACAGACTTGCAAAATTCTTCTTATAGACAATCTCAATGAAAGTAGTTTTAGCCTTTCCATTTTTTTGTTTCATCCACCTATTGGGCTGAAAAATTCTTAACTTACAGTGAAACCCAGACAGTGGGTTTTGAGGTCGAAATGCATATGACATATATAAAAATCGAATGAGATACATGCTAGAAATATAGAGAAAAGAATAGAAGTTAATGTTCAGGCAATTGGTATGTCTATCTGTTTGGGAAAAAACCAAGTTTAGTCTGCAGTTTTGGAATGTGCTTTGAAGTCTTCTAACATTCCTTTTTTTGTTTCTTTGTTTTTTTAAATATTCAACAAAAATAATGCATTTATAAATTCATTGAAAGAAAACAATTGTCAAGTTTTCCTGCATGTGATTTGAATAGAATGTGACTACTTGCTGGTAGTTGTAATTGCTGATGCAGTGAAAATCTCAAATGATCCCATTTGGGATATGAGAGGTTGACAGTAAGGACAGTATCTTTTTTTTTTTTAGAAAACTGGTATTAGCAATATGTATCAGCTGCAGTAACTAATATTTTTGGACAATTTTTTTCAGAGATTATCTAGCAATATTAGGTTAGATGTTCCAGACATTTCTTGAAGAACTCTTCTTTTATTTAGTAGCTTCTTGTAGCAACTGGTTTTCAAAGGGATTTCTATAACTACACACTTTTTAAAAAGTTTTTAAAATATACATGGGTAAATTTAGCACCAGATGTGGTTAAGCATCATAGGCAAGAACCACTAAATGATTTAAAACTTTGAAGTCACTTTAATTAGGAAAGTGTGGCAGGAATACAGTACTGCAATAACAGCAACTAGTCATACCAAAAATTTCATGTGGATGCTTGGATGGGAAGGGTTCAAATTCCATCCCTTCTTTTTTTTGCTTTGTGGGAGGGCAACCTATGATAATAACCATCAGTAGTTGTAGTGGGCATTAAGTAGAACTGTCATAACCTGGGAGAGTTTTGGGACATTGCAAGAATAAGGTAAAGAGTTTAGATTGGAACAGAAGGAAATGATTCATCTGTGGATTCATCTTAATGTTATTCCCCATACTTTTTCCTATGGATTTTAATTGGGAGTTTGACCTTGGTTCTTCAAAAACAAATCAATTTAGCTGGATTGAAATATCTTTCTACTTCCTATTTGGTTCTGAAATAACCAATTTACATTGTTAATTAATATGGCTTGATTGTACTGTTATAGTTGAAAAAAATCTTTTTACTGAATTCTTTATTTTCAAGGGCTAAAGAAAATATAATTTTTCAATAGCTTTTGATTCTTCATGATCTGACGGACATTTTGCCAGTCTTATCTATCAGTAACTGCTGTTTGAGTTCCTGTAAGCTCAAATCTTCTCCACTGACTCTTGCAAGCTTGCATTATGTGCCCACAGTATCTTAGTTTTATTTACAGAATTACTCCATTTGGGTGAGCAGCCTGGTTTTACTTCAGTTAGTATTGAATTATTTGTTCTTTAGGAAGGCTACAGTACACTAAAAAGTTTTCTCTAGAACCAATATTCAAAGACATTGATTTTTCTCCATTCATCATTTCTGATCATCCAGCTGTCATAATTATATACTACAGCTGAAAAAACCATGGAAGTGACAGTATATTTTGTTTATTTATTCGTCCAATTTATATAGCTGTGCATTTCACCAAACAAGCGGCTTTGGATAGCATAAACAAAGCTAAAATTAAATCAATCAATAGATACCTAAAACCATGAAAAACTAAAAGAAATCTGTACCCTAATAGATTTATAAATCTAATAGATAACTTTGTTATTAGTATAATGTCTGTTTCTAATCTAATATCTTCTGGAATTAAAGTAATACCAGTATATTTAATATCCTAGTGTTTCTTTGAGCAATTGTAATGCTAATTTCCATTTCCAGCAATACTTCATATATATTTTGCATAGGAGTTAAATAATGGGACATTATTCTTGGTGTACTCCTTTCCTAATGTTTAACCATTTAGTTTCTCTATATCAGGGGTCTCC